AGAGAGAGAGAGAGAGAGAGAGAGAGAGAGAGAGAGAGAGAGAGATCTTCGTCGAAGCGAATAAGACGCCGGAGTTACTCGATGTTCCGTCTGTTTGTTGTTCAGTAGCCGATGTCTCGTACTGCATCAGCGGTGTTCGCTGAAAAGTATAAGTTAATTTTTCTCACTATCGTACTTCTCTTAAATTTTTATGGTCTTCTCTTAAACTTGTATGGTAGCGCGTGACTTTTGTTAATCGAACGCGACGACGTTCCGAGATGGAACGCGTGCGCCGTCGTACATTTTCTCAAATATGTCTCTCGTGCGCGCTCCATCCTCCCGTGACACATGACATTCGCGACGTTAGTCGACTGCTCGAATCGCAAATCTTATCATCGGGGTGAGGGATCGAAGAGGCAAGCCGGTTGACACGTGTCACGTTCACGCGCTCGCTTCAGGGTTAATAACGGAGGCAAACCACGTTGCTAAGACAATTAAAAACTGATATAAAAAGTTTACTCCTAACAGCTATATTTTTTTCACTGTTCTGCATTCTTTAGGTTTTCTGTTCTCTCTCTCTCTCTCTCTCTCTCTCTCTCTCTCTCTCTTTTCTATCAAACGTCCGATACATACAATTAACGAAAGAGAAAAATGCAGCGCCGTTCATTTCGATGAATTTTATATATATAACGCATCTAGTATATAATTAAAAAATTTATCTTCTGGGAGTTACTAGAAAATTTAATTTTATCAGGTATAGACACGTTGCAGAACTTATTGAAAAGAAGAAATATTGTAACGGCTTTCTTTCTCTTATCGCTCATTATATACTTTCTTTTAAGGTTTATATGTGTCTCCACTTAGTTCTTTTGACCTTGATACAAGTCCTTGATACAATAGTACAGTTGGACCATACTGAAATTGTAATACGGATTATCATGAAACAATAAATTTGACCATTTACCGAATATACGATATAAAAGAACACTCAAACAATTACAATAATTTTTTAGTAGATTCAAACGTACATAACATTTTCCAGTAAATGTATAGTTATTTCAGTTATAATTCTATGTGATCCAAAGTTCCAAAAATTTTGTTGTAATATTTTCTTCGCGTACTTCGCACGTAGACGGTGTGCAACTTATAGTGCAGTTACAAAGATCAGACCTAAAATTCTACTGTTCACGACGGCATCGGTTTTTCGCGGGTGTAAAACCGGCCGCTCATTGCGAAGAGTGGGCGCCGGGCTGATGCGAGAGAGCACGCGCGCGCACACAGCATGCAGCCTCCTTCCCTCCTCTCCGCACCCCGCTGGTGACCCCTCGCGATTCGCACTCCGGATCCCGGTCGCTGCCTACGTGTCCCCCTAGGGCATTTCGCAGCGCGCATGCGCAGCTGCGCGATTATGACGTCATGTACATGACGCCACAACGCCCGATTGGCGGAGCGCGTCGTCGCTTCGTCGTCGTCGTCGTCGTCGCCGCGTAGCTGCGCCACGAGGGGGTCGGGAGCGAGGGGCGAGACTGGCAATGCCACCCGGCAGGGCTGCCGCGGGAGGGAGGATAATAAGCATACGAGGGAGAGAGGAAGAGAGAGAAGGTGAGAGCGAGAGAGAGTAGTAAGGACTCAGAAGCGAAGAGGGCCGAACGCAGCCGAAGCGTCCGCAAGACAGGCGCGCGCGCGAGCTTGAGAAGCTCGGCGAGGGGCAAGCGGGAAGGTAGGATCACAGAGAGAGAGAGAGAGGGAACGAGAGAGAAAGAGAGAGAGAGACACGCAGAGTGGGGAGCAGAGCAAGAGAGATGGCGCTAGTGTTGCTACCAGAGAGGGGTGCGCTACGGTCGTAGCTCGGGTTTTGCCGCCGCATTCTCGAGCGCTCGTCTCTTCGCACGGCAGCCAGGCGAACGAGTGCACGTTCATCGTGTCGCGTATATACGGGGCACGTATGATCCGTTAATTTCGCGTGTTTTGTGTTCGGAAAGAGAGAGAAACAGTACGTTACCACCACACATCGACGACCACGGTCGCGCTCTCGCGTGCGGTGTTGGCGCGCGCGGTAGCCAACGCTGCTCTCGTCGTTCCTTCCTCTCCGTTTCCAGTGCGTGCGACAGTGAGATATATCGGAAGATCGCGGCGTCTCGCTCGGAGCGCGCCGTAATTTCCATCCAGTGACGCAACCTTCTCGTCGCCTTCTTGCCGACGACGACGACGACGACGACGACGACGCTATCTCTCGCGACCGTTCTGGGAACCGTTGGCGTAGTGGCCGTAGAGGCGTAGTAGTACGACGCGAAGTCGTTGGCGAGTCAGGGCGTCGCGCGGTCGTCCTCTCGCGGCTCATGTGCCCGCGAGCCGAGACGGAGTGCGCGCGAGACGGGAGGCACTTGACGTTATCGTTCGACTCGTTGTCGTTATTTCGAGCTGTTTCTCGGACAAGCAGTGCTGTGGAGGAGGCTCGTGTGCGCGGCCAGCATCGATCTTCGCTTCGTTGCGCGGAGTGATACGAGGAGAACGAGCGAGATAGAGCTATAGAGTGAGAGAAAAAGAGAAAGAGAGAGAGAGAGAGAGAGAAAGAGCGAAAGAGAAGAGCGCGCGGAACGTACGCGGTCCTTCGTTTCGTCTCGGCTCTCAGTGTGCGTTGTGTGGCGTAGGAATACGCGGCACGATAGGTCGCGTGAGCGAGCGAGAAGGCGAGATCAAGGTGCACGGACGACGCTGTGAGCGGCGACGAACGGTACGGTGTGCGAAGATACAAGGATACATTGCTATTCGCGAGATAAGGGGAGCCCGGGATTAGACGTACGCGCGCGAAAACAACGCAGTGGATGTGAGTGATAAGCCGCGGCGGGAACAACAACCACTGGTACTGTTACCACCACCACCACCACCACCACTACCACCACTACCACCACTACCACCATCCACCTAGCTAGCTAGCTATCAGCAGCAGCAACTCTTGGAGAGATCGAGTACGTTGCTATCATCTACCAGCTAGAAGATGATGGGCAAGAGGACGCAGTGCTACCTGTGCGACCTGCCCAGGATGCCCTGGGCGATGATAATGGACTTCTCAGAGCCGGTGTGCCGCGGCTGCGTCAACTATGAGGGCGCCGATCGCATCGACCTCGTGCTCGAGTCAGCTAAGCAGCTGAAGAAGGCGCACGGCTTCCAGGACGCGCGGCCCTCCGCCTCCAAGACATATCGCACCGCGGCCGCGCACAGCGAGCACAACGGCGGCGCGAATCTCGACGTGCTGCCGATCCAGAATACCGCCGCCGGCCAAGGCCACTCGCGGCACCACAACATCGCGGCCGGCTACTCGCAGCTGCACCATCGTAACTCCATCACCGAGTTCAACTCGGGCTCGGCCGCGGCCGCCCGCCAGCAGATCGGCCGGCAGCACGAGGAGGGCCACGAGATGGCGAACGGCATGAGAGGCAACAACGTGCGTCTGCCGAGCGCCCATCTGGCGGCCGTAGCGGCGCACCATGTGAGCATGAGCCACAACCGCAGCATGACAGCGCAGCTGAAGCGCGGCATCTCGGCGATCGACGAGGACGAGCACGCCGAGAAGAGGCTCTCTCTGGAGGAACAGCATCCAGTCAGGCCGCCGTTGACGCGCGGCGATTCTCTGCCCGCGGTCAGCCTGGCGGTCAGCTACGTGCAGGACAGGAACAAGGAGAAGCACCCGGTGCGTGCGCCCAGCTTCGAGACCGCGACCACCTTCAAGGCCAACGGTGAGTGAGTTCCTCGTTACTGTTAAGTATTGCTGTTATTGCTGTCGCGCGCGCGACCGACCGGGATGTCCATCCTTTTTTCGCTCCGCCTTGGGTGGGATCCATCGAACGCTTTGAGGCATCTTGTCCACGTTATGACGTCACTCATCCCGTACGTAAAAAACCGTTAGAAATCTGTAAAGTATCGAATGAATAGCGCCCTTGATCGGCGAACGCGGCAATTGTCGATGGCCGTATCGGAAAAAGCGCGAGGAGGGTCCTTGTCGACGCGGATTTTTCGCAGCTCTTTTTTTTGGCAACTCGATGGGAATAACAGAAATTGACTGCACGAGGTATTTACCGTATCGGCAACGCAACCAACGTCTACTGTCGAATCATGACGCGAACGCACGGCCGCCGATCTCGCGCGTAGAGCTACGGGTGACGTGTTACTGCCTTTGTTTACGAATCGCCGACAAGCGAACGCCGTAGAAATCTATTTTTGGAAACGTACGCAGCGTATAGACGATTAAGTAGGAACGCGCGTAAGCCGTTTAGCGGCCACGTCTGCTTCCTTTTTTTTTGTTTCTCTATTCACCGTTCCGGCTTAGAACGAAAAACTTGTTACCGTCGCGCCTTTATCGCGAACTTCTCGCGAAAGTTACCTACGTTCTCGTTGCCGCGATCGATCACATACGCGGACATACGTTTTTTCGCACATAACAAACTCGCTCGCTCGGCCGAGACGTGTGTACGTATGTGTGTGTCTCGTCTTTCGAGACGCCGGCTGCACGTACGCACGCACGCATGCAGGCTAGCTGGGTCGACGTAATTTTTTCGCGGGCGGCGTTCTGGCATTTTTATCGGTCGTCTCTATAAATAGTGAAGAGAGGGGTCTGTGCGCGACTCGCCGTCGTTCCTCGTGGCCATCTGGCGCGGAGAAGGCAACGCCACGCACGCACACGCGTACACACATGTGCATACGTACGCGCGTGCTTGGGAGAGATCGCGTTAAAAGGAAGCTAACGTCCTCCAAGAGCTTCTGCTTTCCTCGCTCCCCGCCAACCCATTCACCCAGCCAGCCATCAGCCCGTCCGTCCGTTCGTTCGTTCGTTCGTCCCTCCCTCTCCTTCGATCGGCGTCCAAACGCGTACAAAAGAGACGTACGTCGAGCACGTGATGGGACGACCAAAAGATACATTCAGTTGCCATGTCGTAACGTCCAATCAGATGACGTCACGGCCGCCGCGCCGTATTTATACTCGATGAATGAGACCGTTGTATGTCCGTGGTCGCCGTGGTCGCCGTCGCTCAATAACTAATCCCGCTCGTGTTCGCGAGATAGGTAGCGAGCGTAGATCGCGCAAATCTTCCCCGCGGAATCCGCGGCACGCGAGCGTCTCGCGGCCGCTGACGTCGCGGCGGCGCGCAGAACGTGAGGGAGATCCGCGAGTCGTTTGACAGGTCCGCCGGTCGCGAGGCACGTCTTCGATAACAACGTTCCTCTCTCTCTCTCTCTCCCCCTTTCTCTCCCCTCTGCGCTCTCTTCGTTAGCCTTATGTGACTCGGGTAATAATTCGGCGATGCCGCGCTCTGACGTAATTAATATCTCACCGACTCCCGCGCGTCAGGAACGCGATACAGAGCGGCGGCGATTAATTGCTCGCATTCTCGTAACGAGTCGCGAAGATCGCGAGCGTTGAACCGGCAGTGCGCGAGTGCGACATCGGCGATAATTGTCTTCGCTTTGACGCCTCTTTCACGTCGTCTCGCGAGCAAGTGTGTGTGTATGCGTGTCGCGAGAGTTCGCTCATTTAGCTTCGTCGGCGGAGCTCGTTTCGTTCTTATTTCACGGCCGGTGCGTTAACGAACGGACGCGCGATGAGTGGCCCTTTTGATCGGTTTTTAATTGCTCGATCGCTCCCCGTTGACAGGTGTTAGTTGGACATTATTGATATTACCGATATTACTCACGATGACATTCGGTTCTCTTCGCTAATTGGGTTAAAGTCAACTTCCTTCCCGAGCCAGGAAGATAATATCGTAGAAAGCGAACACTCTCGGGGTGACGTTGCTTGGGAAAAAAGAGGAGAAAAAAGCGAACGCAATTGTAGTGCTTAAGAGTTCTATTATAGTCTGCCTCTGTGCGCGGTGTGTTCAGCAACGAAAATAATTGAGTAACCAGTGAAAGGAACTTTCTAAGAGGCGTACGCAAACGATGCGTTGAAAAAGCCGTGATTAATTGCATCTAGCGTGACTGCCGCGCGTCAAAGCGGACTCGGGCACGAAGCGCGGAACGACTCGGGGAATTCATTGCCGACGATCACGACGACAGTCGAGTATAATTGACGCGCGTTAACCGACTGACTAAATAAATTCTTCGTGGAAAATAGGAATCTCGAGAGATCGATCTCAGACGACTTGTTAAGCCGCAGAGGTGAATCACGGGATAGGAATCCGAGGGAAGAATCGCGCTACGCGTAATTCATACACTGAAACGAAAGAAACGGTTAATTCAAGAGAATTATAATTGTTTTTTGGTTGTTCTGACGCTGAAATAGCAACATGCATACGAGGTGTCTGTCATTATCATTACGGTAGAATTTAAGGAAAAAAATAGCTTTCTCCGCCATAATTTGCAATACACTAAGAAAAAAGTGATTGAATGAATGAGAATAACAAAATTCGTTCAAGTGAATGTTCAGTCGATCGAACGAATTATATAGTTGTTTGCGATGAGAGAGTTATCAATTGGCTCAATGATCGCGACTTGGTCAGTAGCCATGTCAACGCAACTTATTATTACACTAACGTGCAACTCGTTCAATAAGACACGATATTTCCTTGAACGGGCGGCTGACCGCCAACTTTGTCGGCTCAACTGCTTTTCTCCTTCTCAGTATATAATCATTGCTCTCCATCTGTGTGATCACAGTTACAAGTGCCAAGCACTTTTTTCTCCGTGTGATCGGGGCGCCGACGCGATGCCGCCGGATAAAATGATAGCCGCGGCGACGCGAAGCCAATGCAGATTTTAGTGCACTCGGTTGTTCAATTGTTGACGTCGCACGGCTGTCACAAGATCGTTCGTCGTCGTCACTTTGTAACAAATACCGAGCTGCAGGTTCGCCGCGTTCTCCTCTTGCTCCGGCGCCCTCTCTCTTCTCTTCATCCCGCGTTGCACCGCGTTGCATCGCGCAACTCTCGGCGGCGATGCAGGCCGCGGCGAGACGAAACCGGTCCGAGGTCTCGCTCGCGCTCCCTCCCCGCCCCCCCCCCTCCCCCTCCGTCGTTGCGCGCCGTGACATTTCGCGTCGCGCATCGCGCCGGAATAACTGTAGCGTGCCCCCCTTTTCTTGCTTCGCGCGCGCTGCTTTTCGCCGTATACGCGGCCCATTGACGAAGAGAGCCGCATTACGAACTGACGGCGGCGGCAACGGCGGCGAGAGAAGCACGACGACGTGTATGCGTAATCTAACCTAGCCTAACCTACGTGCCAGTCGGTGACCTTGCTCATCGACCGTTATTTCGACACCGCGGGGCCACTTTCCGATTCGACCTTAACGCCGAGCCTTTCTACAGTTATCGGACCGGTCACTACGGTCCTCGCAAAAAACAAGCTCGTCTTCGAACCGTAATCGCGGCACCTCAACGATGGTGGTCACGCCTCTCGTGCCGTGAGTAACCTCGGCCGGATTTATTTCTGTATAAGTAGGATCTCTGCGGTATCCTTGCTTCTTCTTTGCCAACGTATCGGTATGCAGGATATATTTAATCCTTTGACAACTATCTCTCGTCTCTGCAATCAATTTAGTCATTTTTATCTCTTATATTTTGTTCATTGTTATATTATTTATTTTATTCTCTCTCTCTCTCTCTCTCTCTCTCTCTCATTCAATATCTTACATTTGAAACAAAGGATATTGTAACTCCTGAATAGCGACGAGATACTTACATGTAGTCGCGTTAGTGTACTGCGTTATATGATCATCGATGGCAGAAAGATCCCAATACTCTTACCTCGACAGGTCTCAGAGAACGCGATCCGATAGGAAAACGTGTCTTCTGAGAATGACCGAGGCACAAATTTTCCTACTAGATACAGTCACGCGGTGCGGGATTTATCGGGAAAAATCTGTCGCGATCTTTCCGACACGGGCTGTTGTATTCTCCTCGGGACAATAGGTGTGAAATTTTCTCGCTGACAAATTTCCCGCGCAGTAGAGCGTGACGTCGCGAGGGAGCCGCTTGACACATGTCACCCACGTGTCCGGGGTTAGCGACGTCTGCGACTCGATAACGGGCTCGCCGGCGCTTCTGTAGGTTGGAATCATAGATCATGCGCCGTCTCTCACGTGTGGCCGTCTACAATGTGCGGAGTAAGCTTGACGCAAGTTGGAGCAAGAAATAACAATTCGTTTCGCTTTTACGTCTATAACTCCCTTACACGGGCAGTATATTATCTTTTACTTGAGAGAAACACTTCCGCCGCGTTGGAGTATAGGCGTAAAAACGAAATTATTTTTATTTCTTAATCCAACGTACGCCAAGCTCACTCGGCATATTGTACAGACGACTCCACTGAGAGAACACTCTTCATGCACCTCCCAGATACCGCGTCAATAACGGTGCGTTTGATCATAAATACTTATGAATGTTCTCTGGCGCGCTTCTCGCGAGACGCGAAGGCATCTTACGCGGCGGAGAAAAGAGATAGATCAAACGGGGGCGCGTGTTCGGAACGACGTTTCGCGATCCGCGTCCGTGAGCAATAAATTTTCGAGGGCAACAACCTTGCCGGGATTGAGGGAATTCACGTGAGCACGCGCTCGGGAGTGAGCGCGCGCGCGCGCGGTGTTTTCGCGACACCCGGTGCAGTGACGTAGAACACGAAACAGCTGAGTATACAGAGCGCCGGCGTGCGAGATCTTGTCGCGCGGTCTGATGTCGATAGTTTTTATCTTTTCTTTCTCTTTCTTTCTTCGCGCGTGATAACAGTCGCGTTATCGCTGTTATTCGAC